GGATAGGGAAGATTCTTGGAGCAATGGGACTGGTAGAACACAAAACGGGAGAACCAAGCACTGAAGAAGCTCTAGCTGTAAAAGTAGCATTAATGATGGCCAAAAATGTAGGTTGGACTAAAATAGACGTCCAGACAGACTGCAATGGAGTGGTAGATTAGATAGAGGCAAATGAAATGCCAAAGGGAAATCTAGCAACTATCTTGGAAGACATTGTAGAATTAAGGAAAGTCTTTGAACTGTGTAGTTTTTCTTTTGTCCATCGAACCGGAAATCAATGTAGTTATATGCTAGCTCAATATGCAGTAAAGCTAGTTAATGACTTAAATTGGGAAAATCATTTCCCAGTGTGGCTAACCGACTTAGCTCAAAATTATTTGAGTGCAATTGCCCCTTTTTGTAATTAATCCTTGTAATGTCAAGTGTTAATATAAATCTTGTTATCGTTTGTTAAAAAAAAAAAAAAATTGTGTATTGCTCTTTTTTGTAATAACGAGGTCCAGCTTTATTATAACCATCGTGGATCCCACGAAATAGCAATTATTATCTACTTTTTTATATCCAACCCACATAAATGCCCACAAAGTTAATAAGGATTAATCATTTTTCCTTTTGGAGTGAAATTTAGGAAGCCAGAGGGAGGAAAAAATTAAATCTAGAACCTCTAAGTCTTGGAGCAGATTAAGCATCTACTTGTCACTCAGGATCACAATTAATTTTCTTTAGCAATTTAAAGGAAACTCTAAGCAAGAAGAATGTTTTTTTTTGTTAGTTTAAAGGAAACTTAATGAAGAAGAAAGAGAGAGTTTAACAGATGTTTAGTACGTAAATCTTAAAAGATCTTTTATTTTTTGTCTATTCTCTTTATATGTATTTCAACTATCTTTTAATTTCATATAATTACTTCTCAAAAAATATTACTTTTCTAGAAATGCCACCAAAAGTTCCTAAAAGATGAAATCCAAATAGGAAAATTTTACAGTTACCTAATTGACGTCATACAATTTAAACTAAGTTTGAGATGAAGTGGATTATTGTGCTTCTAGTTTTCTACGTTAGATGGGGGAGTTGAAGAAGTCCAAAAGCTCAAATAGCACTCTAGAGCAGCCGTTTAAGGATTAAAATTAATTACACTAAGAATAGTTTGTAAGTTTAATCATATGATAACTTTTAGTCTTAGAATATCATATAGTTAAACAAAGCTCTATCTAAAAACTATAAGGATCTTGCCACTACATAGAAATCCAATATCTCTGGGTTCAAGTTGAACCCATTTATATAGAAGTTCAGAAAACTCAAATCGAAAACGAATTTGAAATACAACCAAAAATAAAAATTAACATTTTCAAAATAAATATATATATAAGTTCACGGAGGACTTCCTTCCTCCTATGATTGAAACAGATTTTGGACCACAAAATCCAAATTCATATCCAATTCATCATCCACATTAGGAATGCATTCGAGTTGAGTTGAACTCGAATAGTATACTACTGGAGCTCGACTCGAGGTAAAATAACTGCGCTTGAACTCGAGCTCGACTTCAATTTATCTTATTCAAGCTCGAGTTTAATTAAATCTAATCGAATCAAATCAAAGTCAATCAAGCCTATTCGAGCGTAATCGAATTTAATCGAACCTATTCAACTCTAATCAATCTCACGTAATAAAAATTAATATTTCACATAAAATTTTAAATAAAAGATATTATTAATATTTTACAATAATAAATATTAGTATATATATGTAATATTATAAAAAAACTTGATTAGACTCATCGAACTTTCGAGTACAAAATATAGGAAGTCAAGCTTGACTTGTGAGCTCAAACGAGTAAGCTTGAACTAAATCAAAACAAGCTTGAGTCGAGCTATTTGTTCAGCATCACCCTAATCAACGCTAACTTATTCGTCCTATTGACTTACTAATTTTCCAGTTTACGTATAAAAGCTAACTCACGCTATAGGTTACCGAAAAGCTAGCATTTAGTTTAAAAGTTATACTTGCGAAATTTAAAGAATTGGTACAAAGAACAAAGCAAAATGACAAAAGTGGAAAAGAAAACCAAAATTGCCCGCAAGGGGCATTCATACGAAGATCCCAGTTGTATGACTAGTACCAGTACCAGTACCACTGACAGAGTCAGGACCTTTAACCAGTGGAGGCAATATTATACCTTAAAAATAATACAAATATTCTGCAAAACGATATTCAATTTAGGGAGACAATGTCAAGGAGGATAGGATTTTTCAAAATATAGGGGGCAATTGTAAGAAAAATTTAAAACTCTGTCAAGCTTTCTTGACTATTCCAAAAATTTTGTAAAATTAAGGAGGCTGCAAGTTGTTGGTCTTTGGGGGGGGGGGGGGGGGGGGGGGTTTTGCTTAAATTTGCTGCAGTATAGCGCTGACCCTGAATATATATATATAATATTCAAAAACTAGTTTTCGTCTTAGAATAAAGAAAATGAAGATTACAACCTACAAGTTCGAGTTCAATAGCTAGCTATATTCAAATTCCAAAATGAGACATCAACAAAAACAAGAGAGAAAACCACCAGAAGAAAAAGGAAAAATAGAAGTTGGATAGCCTCAGAGGTACGGACTCTGACATATCATCAAGATTCTGATAATACGTGCAATTTACAATCCCCTCATCATCGGCCAATTAAAGATTTTGCTAATAAAATCAGGTTGATTACTTAGGCAAATCAAGGTGAAATAAAGCACACTAGTGCAAACAGGAAATAGAATGAAAATTAAATGTTGGCAATTGTTTCTTGGCCGATTAAAAGAAAGTAGGCAAAATGGTACTACCAAATCATATGCTAGAACAGACCAGAGTGCATTTCTTGGTCAAACTGCTTATGTGGCAAACTCTATACCACCCACAACAATGGATGTCCATCCCCATATCCACCACACAAATGGGACCCTTTTCCTCCAAATCCAATGGTTTTTGGAAATTTAAACAGTCCAAAATCAAGTTGTAATTCACTCTAATCTATTTGTCATACGGACTAATCAATTTTCCAGTTTGCATATAAAGCCAACTTCTGCTACAGGTTACTGAAATCAGGTACTCAGTTTAGAAATTTTATGCAAAAAATTAAAGAATTGGTACAAGTAAGAAAGCAAGAAGATAAAAAGAGCCAAGGAAAACAAGGATTGCATGCAGGGGTGTTTATCCTAAAACCAGAATTAGTAGAGTGAATAATCTCCAGTAATGAATGTTTTATGAAGGTCACTCATAAAAGTAACAACTAATCCCATCTGTAATACATGGGACAATTTTTTCACCTCATAGACAAGATCAATAATTTGTTAGTACCCGGTTTTTGTCTTAATATGTAAAAGAATGAGGTTTACAAAGAACAAAATGCAAGTTCATACCAGCTGTATCCAAATTCCAGAATGAGTGGTTAAAACAGGAGAGGGAAACAGCCAAAGAAAAGTAGAAGTAAATTGCCTCAGAAGTCAGAGGTGGTGAAAATCACATATCATCATGGTTATTTCTGATGAAATGTTGTGCAGTAATAACTGCTCATCATAGGCAAATTCAAGCAAATTACTCCAGGCAAATCAGCCAAAAAAAAAAGTGAATTAGAGCACAAAAGTGCAAACAGAAAATAAATGAAAAAAAAAAAATGAAGGGCCTCAGTTGCTGCGATGATGTTAAACATAATCATATGGTCACGTCATAACATGTGTAACATATGCATGCATCACTGGCCCTTTTTTCTTGGGAAATCAGAACAGCCTTCCCAGAAAAGAAAATAGGCAAAATGGTTCGACCAAATATGATTATTCTCCATGTGGGGTGCCTAATTTTTTTCCCACTTCCTGGGTAGGGGCTTGATGAGAAGAGCACCATTGAAACGATGCTTCAAAAATCTTGCATGATTCTGTATTGATATTGGCCTCAGCTAAAATGATTCAAAGAAATTGTTACAGATTCATCACAGGAAACGATGTTGCATCTTAAGAAATGATTAACAATTAGCTGGACGAAATATGTAGAAGCTCAAGGGAAAAAGATAGGGGATAAAAAAAATGTTAGCCCTTTTCTTCTGGATTAATGAAGAAGAACAACAAACAATACCAACTGGTTATAATTTAAGGAAGAAAAGTGGCAAGGATCAACAAAAAAAACTTATGCCAAGTAAAGGAAATCCAGAATCCAATTAGATTTTGAGAGCTAGAAGTGTAATCTAGAAAGAGCTCCTTCTAGAGGATAAAAAGAATCATCAGGACATGTTGTCAGCTTTAGATTTCAACCCTTCGCACAGTTTAAAAATGGTTGACAGCGAGACAGAGACTATAGGTTGTTCCAGATGGCATACCAACGTTCACCAGAAATTAGATAAAGATAAGGCACTTGACGAAGTCATTATTGTCTTTCCAGTGCACTTAAATATAAAGCATATATGAAATAAGTATCTTAGGTGCCACTTCTTCAACAGAAAGGTAAATTTATGCACTCACTTCACGTATCTTTTAAGTATCACCCTTTTACTTTTACTTTTTTGATAATAATTATATAATCTATTTTATCTAAAATTTGAGAAAATGAAGGTTTAAAGAGACTAAATAGCTTATCTTTTAAGTATCACCCTTTTACAGAAAGGTAAATTTATACACCCTTTTACAGAAAGGTAAATTTATACACACACCCCACAGGAAGTTATAACTTTTCAACATAAAAGAAAATGTACAGATTCACTTCACAAGGGATTATGATTCTAGAGAGTCGTATTGAATGAAGAGATCCTCAATTTAGTGTGATTATCCTGTGTCATTTATTATCCCTTAAAGAGCTTATCCAATGAATGCTTTGAGCGATTGTTAATTCATTTTACCTGTTTCACTTATTGATCAGAATTTTTTGTATGTCATCATAACTCCCCTTTTGATGTCTTGGCCAGTAGCTTTTCCTTTTCCTTTTCTTTTCTGTTCTTGGCATCACTGTCCTTTTGGTCATTTATAACCTGTGCTCAGAATAGGTAAACCGTACTACTTTTGAGTATAGCTTTAACTAATTATAATTAAGTATTCAACGTTTTCATTCTTGCCCATGATGATAAAATAAATAAATAAACAAAGAAACAGCAACCACAATAATCTAGTTCTACTTTGAGAGGGAAGGAGAAATCCCTGCTAACTTGGCACATTTGGGGGGCCAAAGGAAGAGATCCGACCTCCAGATCGACTGGGTATAGCCAGCATCATATTGAGTCACACTCATACAACTTTCTGAATTTTTTTTTTTTTTTTCAGGAAAGAAAGCACCACGCTTCCCTTGTAAACGCTAGGCGTGATTCGAATTTCCCGGCATCCGTGCAAGATACAAGACGCAGCTCTAAGAAGCCCCTGCTGGCCATTAGATCAAAGCCCAGTGAATTCTTTCTTATACACGGTGACATATTTATGGCAACATATTGTCCAACACAGTGAACACTCCATCATTCGTCCTTCAATCAGGAAATTTAGTCATTAAGTCTTGACAGCAAACTATATGGCCGTCTAAAGAATGTCAAAGATGCTAAATAGCTACACATACATAATTCGAATTTCAGAAGCAAATACATCAAGAGCAATGACGTACTAGTAAACAAAACAATGTAATTTTAATAGGATATCATCAGACACAAATGCAAAGTTAATAGCCTTCATTTTCCTTTAGAAATGTTTATTACATTGGATGCCTTTGGAGCCCAGCTTTTCGCTAGACTACAACAAGTTGCACCGTTCAAATCTCCGTTCTTAAGAAGTAATCATCAGGCTTTTCATTACCCTAAGGTTGCATCTAGATTAAACAAAACAGCAAGCATATCACATGCAACTGGGGTAAAACAAGCACAATAACCTAAGTTGCTTAACTGATGGTCATATAGAGGAGTGAACGAGCTTTGCCTAAAACGGCTACAATGAATAACAGCCAAAGGATGCTCTATATACAAATATCCTTAAGAAGTAACCATCAGGCTTTTCATTGCCCTATACAAGTCCAGACTGAACGAAACAGCAAACAAGGCACACACTAAGTAATCAATTAGAAACAAGAAGTACAAAGTCTTCGTTGCTTAACCAATAGTCACTTAGATGACTAAACAAGCTTTGCCAACAACAGCCTCTCTGCATTGACCTTAAAGTTGTCTAAAAAATAGATCATCACTCCTATTCCTCATTTAGAACAACAACAGGTCACATATCTCATCTGAGACATATTCCAAGAAAAACTATCTTCGGTTCTGTATAACTTCTCATTTTCATGTTACCAAATTGTCCATTGTGATTAAAGAGAAAAGCACCAGTAGCAGGAGCTTGAAATTAGTTAAAAAGGAACTTGTCATGTAAAAATAACTTTAGCACAGCAGCCACAGCCCCAAAATCAGCACAAGCAAAAGTTTGCCTCACAGCTAGTGAAATCACTTCTCATCCTTCTTATTCCAGTACAACTTGGAATTCAATGCACAGCAAAGACAAACCAGGCAATAGTTGCTCTGGTGCATGATTATATTGTATCTACCAACCAGTTACCAACATTAGACCAAACCACAAACTGATTTACAGAACAAAGTGCTGCTTCAATTTCAACTGATTTGGTGCATGCTTGAAATGAATGTGGTTTTGTACCCCCAAAAAATATGTGGTTTACAAACTACAAACTGCAAGTTTAAAACAAGTAGGAAGATCCAGATTGAAACAGGAGAAAGAAAGCAGACAGCAGATTTTACAAAGAGAAGCTAGTTTGCCTCAGAGGTAGTGACAATTTAATTATCATCACCTAGTTTCTGATAATACATGCAATATATAATCGTCATTGGCAAACCAGTACTTCTCTGATGGAAAAAATATCATTTATTTGATCTAAAGCAAAATATATAGGGCAGTGTAAAGAAGGAAAAGTAACAGAACTGAAAATAAAAAGGAATAAAAAAAGGCGCCTCAGCCTGCGATGATGTTTCCAGAATCAATATGCCAAATCATGATATTGCAAACATTCATCATTGGCAATTTCAACTTTGGAACCTCAGCATAAACAAAAAGCTGTCATGAAAGTTGAGGGCACTTTTTCAAATGAAGTTATAAAGGTAACCATGAAACAAGAAGACACTTCAAAATTCAAGCATTGGCCTATCTTTTAATTGCACAAATCCCATGCACAACGAGAAAACCAGTCAAAAAACTTTCAAAAACTCTACTAATGCATCAGAGAGATTCCCATCGACAAATCACCATTCTCACTAGGAGTACTGATGTCCCTGTCTGTTTTATCATCACTTGCACTAAACACATTCAAATAGAAGTCAAATTTATAATTTCAACCTCATCATGAGCATAATCAACTTTTAACCAAAAAATATACATTAGTGAGAGCTCAGACAGCAGCAAAAAAATCTAAACAATTAAGAGAAACAGAAGATTGTGCCTCAGATTTTATTTGTTTTCATAGAAGAAACGCTCAAAGTATATTTAACACCATCCTGGGCACTACCTAAAACCCTCAAGTCATTTAAAAGGGCAATCCTATACGCCAATGCTGGAAAAGCAACTAATCAGACAAATTCACAAAATTTTCTAGTAGATGCACTCCAAGTCAAGAGTTCTTCTAAACTAGGCGATTTATTGAAGCTAACTAACCAATCAGACACCAAGTCATCAGAAAGCAGAAATTCAAAAAACAAAATGCATCAGAGAGATTCCCATTGTAAGACCAAGTCATCTTTCTCCAGAAAGGAGTTCTGATGTCCCTGTCTGTTCTATCATCCCTTGCATTTAGGAAATGAACACACATTAATCTATGCAGCAAAACCAAAAATCAAAAAGTACGGTAAAAACAACAAAATTGCCATAAAACCTAAAACATAGCAGAGAAGAACATAAAAAAAAATGAAAAATGCCTTGGCAGCCTCAGAATTAAATTCTTTTCAGAGTAAAGCTACTCAAAGTATATTTAACACCATCACTGGCATAGGGATAACATGAATCAAAAAAGAAAAAAAAAATAAAAAGAAAAACCCTTTTGTACTTTTTCTTGGCGAAAGATCGAAAGTAAAAGTACGCATCAGAGATTCTGATTTCCTTAAAATGCTTATTCTTCCTTCTCCGGGAAAAAGGAGTTAGATGTATCAGTCTATATCATCACTTGCAACAAAAAAGTACCTAAAAAAACCGATAAATCGCACTTAGATGGCTGAACAATTACACAGTTTTAGCAAATAATTTAAACAGAGCATAGAAGAATGGTTGCTAGGAATATTAGGGTTTATCAAGTGGCATGAGAATAGGGGCTATATGTATATATATATATATATACATTGGAGGATGGACACTGGGGACTCCAGAGAGTTCGAAATTAGGGGCAAATTTGCAAAGAGATCCTTTCATTTGATGGTATTTCGGTTTGTCCCGCTTGCATTTTTCTTTTTCATTATGAGTGTATTTTCGTAGCTCTACGATTTTACTTTAATTAATACTACTAGTTTTATAGTGCAAAATTTTGCAAATCACATTTGTAGCTGTAGATCAATTCAAGATTAGCATTTGCTTCTCAAAGCAATTAGAAGTAATTTTCCCTAGTGATCAAATCTGTTATTTTTCAAAAAAAAAATATTACTGGTAATTTTTAGTCGACTATAAGTATGATAAAAATGGTAATGAACCCTAAGCACTATCAATTAGTATATAGTTTAAGCCTGCTTACCATAGCCTAGAGTTGATTGTATATTCGTGTTTCGACACATTTGCTACTTTTGCAGAAAGTTTTTCTTCCAATAAAAGTACAATAATAATCTTTCTTGATACACTATGAAATAATGTGGAAGCAATCTATATTGTTGAAGATTTATGGGGGATCCAACTAGCTTTCTATTTTTGTGAAAAAAAAATGAATGCTTCTTCTACAACCAATTTGTATCAAATTCTTAAAAAAGATGCAAAATTCAAAAGGAAAACACTTATCTAGCTAAAAGAAGAGGAACAAAATAAGAGTAATTTTGGAGTGAATAGATTTTTTTGGGCTCTTGGGTGATAAAATGTTGTTGGTGAGAAGACTTGAAATCCATATCGCAAAGATACAAGTGAACTGGAAAAGACCAATTCATGTTGAACATTGGACATTGGTTACCAGTATCCAGTGTTGGGCTTTTGATGGCCCTCTAAGGAGTAATTCTTTACTCAAAGCCTAAATGCTGAAGTTGGGTTGGCTCCAAAGATGTGTGATTAACTTCTCTTTTTGACTGGGCTCTTCAATTATTCTTTGTTTTTTGTCCAGCCCAGATATTAGGTTTCAAGCAAATCCATGGGATGTTGGTACGAGCTTCGAAGTCCCGAATCCATAAACCTTGAGTTTTAGACCTTGGACGTTTTCCATTCCATCTAGAAGTACGCACTATTAGGCTTATACAAATTAGGTGTACTAGTTTAAAGGCGTACAAAACAAGAGATACAAACAAGTCGAGCTTAAACGACAAATTCGTGAGTTTGCTTTTGAGCTCGAACTCATGTTGATTCAGTTTGAACTTTTCTCAATATATCCTAAATTTCTTTTATAGTTATTAGTTTAAAATATCTATCATATCTTTTGTTTAAAATTAAGTAAGACATTAATTATATTATCTAAATTCAATTAAACTCGATTAAACTCGAATTCGAGTTCAAGTATAAATTAAAATTAGAACGAACTCAAGTTTAAGCTCTTCAAGCTCGCGGAACTTGACGAGTTTAAGTACAAGAATTTTCGGAGTCTAGTTCGTGCTCAACTTCGAGTGCATTTGATAACTTATCACTTAATTTTGGGATCAAGTTTTGTCTAAGAAATTCAGTGCCATTTAATTAATTCAGACGTTCAATTTTTTGTTATCAAACAATCTGAATATGTTAAAATTTGAATCTATTAAATAAAAATATAGAATTGAGTTATCAAACAGGAACTTCATTCGTTTACACGCTTATACAACATCTATATTCGACCCACACAAAACCCCTAGTTCCGACTCATATATGTGTAGTGTAATGATTCGTCGTGAGGTGGAAAAATGACAGACACGAGAGGGAGCTTAAAGCAACAATGCAGTTAGAAGCCCAAAAGAAAAACCCCCAATAAAAAAAAAAAAAGCTTTTAGAAGACGCAAAACATCTTTTTGATTCCTCTCTTCTGGTTCAAGAATACATATTAGAGCTAATAAATAAATATAGAAATCTAAAAAGTAAAGTAGCATTGTCTAGTCTGAAAAACATATAATACTGGTATTCCACATCATAAAGTCTTTCTAAAGCTACACCGTCAAGAATACAACTTTAGCCGACATTATGCACAAATATTAATGTGTTTAATCAACCAAACGACAGTAATGTTCTTTCTTTATCTAATTATCTTCTAGGCTGTGCATAAGGGAGTTGGCCAACTTTTTCGTACTACAGAAAATTTGGTTTGCTGGTTTTGCTTCAAAAAAAGAACACTAGCACGTGAAGCTTTTATCTAATGGCACCTGGTCTAAAGAGTAATGTCCTGTCCGCTATTATTACGTTTTGATTAGCAGACAAACTTCCACAAATTAAGGTTGGTAAAGAAAACCAAAATTTATGGCACATTTGAAGTTGTAAAATAATGTCCATCATAAAAAAGAGAAGAGAAACCAAAAAAGAAAATAAAAGAAAAACATTAACAATTGTTAGAACAAAAAATTACGCAGCGGAAGTAACATTAAAATTTTATAAATAATAAAGAAATATTAAAATTTTACGAATAATAAACAATAAAAAAGGCGCGAGAGGAAACAAAATATTCTGTTTCAATTCATTAATTTCTCTCAACTACAAACCTAGGATTCCAAGTGTTTAGATAGAGAAACATAACTACAAATTCTATTTTAATTATAATATCAAAATATGACTCAACTCTATTTTCTAAACAAACAATGATACCAAATCTAAGGGAAAATACCGGTTTTCATCCCCAAACTTTGGGCACAAGACACATTTCGTCCCTCGTCTTTCGGGCATGACACATTTGGTGTCTGAATTAACAATTTTTGACCAAATGTCATCCTCAGACGGCAATTTAGCCAACCTTTAACGGACCGTTAAGTAAATGTGGCTATCTGAAGCAAAATCAGGTGAAAAATGCCGTTGTCTTCACTTTCCCTTTTTCTTTCACTTCAACAACTTCCTCTGCAAATTTCCAAGACTAAGCTCCTACAGCAAATTTCTCTGAGAGTAAACCCCCTCTTCCAATTATAAATATATAATTATAATTATATAATACATATAAATATTACTTATACTAATATTTTATATAATTATAATGTATATTAGATATTAAATCTAATCATTATATAAACTTATATTCATAATAATAAATATAATTATAATTATCTAATTTATTAATATTATATACACATATATATTATAAGGGATAATTTCAGAAACCTCCCCTAAATTAGCTTATGGAAAAATGGGAAAATGGATAATTTATGGAGAAAGTCGTAAAGAGCTGGTGTTTTATTGGAGAACTGGTTTATTTTTATTTTATCCGATAAATAAATTTGTTTATGAAAAAATGGGTACTCTGTTCTTATAATAGAGGAAAGCCATCAAGAGCTGAAGTTTTATTGGAAAATGAGTTTATTTTTATTTTATTCGATAAATATATTTATTTATGAAAAAATTGGTACTCTGTTCTTATAATGGAGGAAAACCCTAAAGAGCTAGTCTTTTATGGAAAAGTGATACTTTATAGAAAGTGACCGCGATTTGGTTTATGAAATTATCCAAAAAAAATTAGAATGAATTTGTTTATTTAATTAAATAATTATTATATATATTTATATAATGCATTATATAATTATACTAATATTATTATAAAATATATTATTATAACTATATTATATATATAAATATTAATTATACTAATATATTATATGATTATAAAGTATATTATATATTAATTATAATTTTTAGTATATATTAGCATATTTATAATAATAAATATAATTATAATTATATAATATATTATTACTATATACACATATATATTATAAATATATGCACATACAATATACATTTATAAATATATATATATAAATATATTATAGTTATTACCCTAAATATATTAGAGTTATTAGGGTATAGTTATTATAGTTATTATAGTTATTACCCTAAATATATTATAGTTATTAGGGTATATACCCTAATAATATATTTATATATATTTATAAATGTATATTATATGTGCATATATTTTAATATATATGTGTATATAGTAATAATATATTATATAATTATATTTATATTTATTATGATAAATATACTAATATATACTAAAAATTATAATTAATATACAATATACTTTATACTCATAAAATATATTAGTATAATTATATAATGCATTATGTAAATATATATATAATAATTATTTAATTAAATAAACAAATTCATTCTAAATTGTTTTTTGGATAATTTCATAAACCAAATCGCGGTCACTTTCTGTAAAGTATCGCTTTCCCATAAAAGACTAGCTCTTTAAGGCTTTCCTCCATTATAAGAATAGAGTACCCATTTTTTCATAAATAAATTTATTTATCGAATAAAATAAAAATAAACTCGTTTTCCAATAAAACTTCAGCTCTTTATGGCTTTCCTCTATTATAAGAACAGAGTACCCATTTTTTCATAAACAAATTTATTTATCGGATAAAATAAAAATAAACCAGATCTCCAATAAAACACCAGCTCTTTATGGCTTTTCTCCATAAATTATCTATTTTCCCATTTTTCCATAAGCTAATTTAGGGGAGGTTTATGAAATTATCCCTTATAATATATATGTGTATATAATATCAATAAATTATATAATTATAATTATATTTATTATTATGAATATAAGGTTATATAATGATTAAATTTAATATCTAATATACATTATAATTATATAAAATATTAGTATAAGTAATATTTATATGTATTATATAATTATAATTATATATTTATAATTGAAAGAGGGGGTTTACTCTCGAAGAAATTTGCAGTAGGAGCTTAGTCTTGGAAATTTGCAGAGGAAGTGAACACAACGTCATTCTCCATCTGATTTTGCTTCGGTTAGCCACATTTACTTAACGGTCCGTTAAAGGTTGGTTAAATTGCAGTTTGAGGATGACATTTGGTCAAAAATTGTTAATTCAGACACCAAATGTGTCATGCCCAAAAGATGAGGGACGAAATGTGTCTTGTGCCCAAAGTTTGGGGATGAAAACCGGTATTTTCCCCC